GCTGGGGTAAAATGTGTTATCTTTGAATTTCACGCCACGCAACGAGACATCTAGCCAGAAATCAATGAGCGATGGGGATGGGCGGCGTCACGCATCTTTTCCAAGTCCCCTTCTTTTTCTATTCGACCAGAAAAGTCATTAAAAGGTGATCATCACTGATCCAGGGTGTGGCTATGTCAGTAAGCGATAAGGTACGCACGTTAAAGTGAATCCTTTTTGGACTCGAAATTAGATTATTGATTGTGTGGCAACATTCTGTACATAGTGCGCCGCGATTCTTAGCTAGTTGTCTCGTCGCGCAATATACCGCTCGAGCCTAATGTCACGTATACGAAACAATGCCGCCAATAGCCTGTTTTTTTTTTTCAAAGTTTGACCTAGAGGTATCCACTACTACCATCAAATTATTATATTACAAATAATGCTTTGAAGAATCCATTTAATTGTGGCCCACTGTTTGAGAAGGTGTCTTCATTCATGGTGATTCACTTTATAGATTGTCGAGGCATATCCATTTCTTCAAAAACGCTCCAACATGATTTCTACTGACTTTTTTTTTCTTTTTTTCAGTTTTCCATACCTCATTCATGCTATTTAGCGTAATCTCATCGACGCATCCGGTGAGAGCTATGAATCGGTTGGATCCGTCGACTTACATCGTGTTAATGCTACGGCGGTGGCTGTCACGACGACGACTACACCGACGATTATGGTTGTGCCTCGATAGATAGAAGGAGAGGGAAAGAGCGAGTAGGAAATTTCGCGATGCTTTCTGTCAGAGAATTACTCCTCCTTTCAAGTCTAACATGCACTCTTATTATTTTGTTGTGGGTATCGTTGTGATATGCATAAGTGAATAACCAAATTGTAAAGTGTTGAGCTTACTATTGTAATTTAGAGTTAATTAAGTATTTTCACATGATTATAGTAGTTCGAGTAGATCGAAAATTGGCTATAGCAATTATAACCGAGTGTCATACTGTACGTATGTCAAAAAATCTGTGAATATTCACGGAGCTGATAACTTTGATGATTTCACATATCATTTGAATAGTATGGTCCTTTACTGTTTGTTTCATGGCGAACGTTATGTGCGCATTGAGCACATGTTTTGAGGCTTTACAAAAACTTTTTACAAGCTACTTTAATAATAAATATTTGTATGTATATCTAAAGCTGTTGCTATTTTTCAAGTGGACGGTGAGCGAAGGTCAAATTGAGCAACAACAATTGTTTCTGAGGTTATCTTGGAGAGAGGAACATCCTCCTTTT